AATGGATCCCAGATTCAGGTGCTTCTGACCATATGACATGCACGAAACTGTCTTTACTTCACCCAAAATCGTGCCTCATTTTTCACCAATTAAAATTCTAGATGGATCTTTCATTCCAGCTAAGTCTTATGGAGACGTTTCTCTTAGTCCTCTTGTTACCTTGAATAACGTTCTTTATATACTTTCCTTTACTTGCAATCTTATATCTATCAGCAAACTAACAAAAACTTTAAACTTTGTTGTTCATTTTTTTCCTTCATTTTGTGCCCTACAGGACTTAGCCACGAGGAAGCTGATTGGAATGGATGAATTATGAGATGGACTCTATTATTTTCGAGCAATCAAAATTCCTATGGCTACAACCAGCACCAGTACTCTTGATCTTAAACTTATTCCGTGGCATTAGCACCTTGGACATTAATCTGTTAATAAACTATCTCTTCTTAGTGATTTAGGTCTGTCTACTATTAAGTCATTTAATACATGTTGTGACTCTTGTCATCGAGCAAAACAAGCTCGAAAACCTTTTGCTGTTAGTTCAATTAAAACACACGAATCTTTTTAGTTAATTCATTATGGTGTTTGGGGACCGTATCATACCACTTCTTTATCTGGCGCTAATTATTTTTTAAGCATTGTGGGTGATTATGCTAGAGCCATTTGGGTGTATTTAATCAAAACCAAATCCAAAGTCTATATCAGGTTGATTTCCTTTATTAATATGATAACTAGACAGTTTGGTAAGACTGTGAAACATATTCGTAGTGATGATGGAACCGAATTCACGAACCATAATTTTCAACTCTTCTGTCAACAAAATGGGATTTTGACCCAATTTTCTTGTGTCTCTATGCCCCAACAAAATGGAGTAGTAGCATGTAAGCATAGGCACATACTTGAAGTGGCTAGAGCTTTGGGATTTCAGCCTAATTTACCCATCAAATTCTGGGGAGAATGCATTTTAACAGTAGTAAATTTAATAAATTACACTCCCACACCTTTGTTGTCTGGTAAGAGTCTTTATGAGTTTTTATTTTCTCGAAAGCCAAATTATTCCCATCTTCGTGTATTTGGGTGTCTTTGCTATAGTTCTGTCATTCCTTGTCCTAGAGACAAATTCCAAGAATGTACCACATCTTGCATATTTGTCGGCTACATTCATGGCCAAAAAGAGTACACGGTATATAACTTAACCACACATACAATTTTTACTTCTAGGATTTGACATTTTATGAACATACTTTTCCCTTTCAAGACAAAACTTCATCCCTTTCTCTAGATCACAGTCCATCAACAACCTCACCTCCGTTGCCTATCCTTGATCATGAACCCGGGTCATTCCCTACAAATTCCACCATCATTCGCAACCAAGATATCACGAATTCTGATCATTCCATAGACATGTTGACTAACACTCCAAGTCCTGTTCAACATCTCATCTTCCCAGCACAACTTCCCCTACGTGAAAGAAGATTACCAGCTCGCTTTCATGGCTTTCATGTTGACTTACCGCGAAATAATAATCCTTCTTCCACCACTTCCAACAATGCTTCCTCAGTACATCTTACCCATTGATTAATTTTCTCTCATATTCAAAATTCTCTTCACCACATACTAGTTTCCTTGTGGTCATCACTCAAAATGATGAGCTGAAAACATATAAATAGGCCATTAAAGATCTTCATTGGCAGGAAGCAATGAAAAAGGAATTAGAAGCACTTAAGCAAAACCATACATGGACTTTAGAGCGTTTGCCTCATGGTAAGGCCATTGGATCGCGATGGGTTTACAACATTAAATATCATTCTGATGGGATGGTTGAGCTGTACAGGGCTCGCTTTGCCAAGGAATATACACAAGTTGAAGGGCTTGATTATAATGAAGCTTTTGCATCCGTTGCCGAACTTACCACAGTAAGAACTTTATTAGCTATGGCAGTTGTCAAGTCATGGGCATTACACCAACTTGATGTTCATAATGCATTTTTGCATGGCGACCTTGATGAGGACGTTTACATGATGTTGCTTCTTGGGTACTTATCCTCTGTCGACAACTGTATGTGTCACCTCCGTAAATGCCTTTATGGTTTGAAGCTGACATCTCGCCAATGGTATGCCAAATTTTCCAGTACTATCCTTCACTTAGGTTTTACCTAATCCAAGGTAGACACTTCTTTCTTTTTGCATCGCAAGGGCAACATTTTTACTGCTTTGCTTGTATATGTGAATGATGTCATTATTGCTAGCAACAACAATACACACACTACTGCCCTTAAAGAATATTTGGACACCTGGTTTCATATTAAAGATTTGGGTCCTCTTAAATATTTCCTTGGATTAGAGGTTGCTCGATCTCCTGATGGCATAGTCTTTTCTCAACGTAAATATTGCTTGGATATCCTGTAGGAGGTGCCAAACCTGCATAATTTCCTATGGACCAAAATCACAAATTAGCTTTAGATGCTAGCACTCCCCTTGATGATCCAAGTACTTATCGTCGGCTAGTTGGAAGACTCATTTACCTGACTATCACCAGATCGGAGATTTGCTATTCAGTCCATGTTCTTTCTCAGTTCATGACTTAAACCTAGACATGGACATTGGATGGCAGCCCTTCGAGTCTTGCGTTACCTAAAATCTACTCCTGGCCAAGGTTTTTTTCTTCCCTCCAAGTTCGACCTTCATCTTTATGCCTATTGTGATTCAGACTTGATTGGGTGTCCCCTTACGTGTCTTCCTTGGCAGTTCTCCCATCTCTTGGAAAACTGAGAAGCAAACTACATTATCTCGTTCTTATGTTGAGGTTGAATATCGCTCTATGGCTACTACTGCTTGTGAACTCATTTGGCTTCGCACCTTGCTTAATGATTTGATGATTCCTCATCCTTTACTGGCTCAACTCCATTGTGACAATCGTGCTACCATACATATTACTGCTAATCCTATTTATCATGAGCACACGAAACATATCGAGATCGATTGTCACTTCATTCGTGATTGCATTAAATCGACTCGATCACTACGTCACATGTTCTTTATGATTTCTAGTTGGCTGGCATCTTCACCAAAGCATTGGGTAGTAATCAGTTTCATTTCTTTGTTGGCAAGTTGGGCATTCGTAATCTCCATGCTCCTACTTGAGGGGCGTATAGGACAAAAACAGAACTTACCAAGTTTGAACAAAATCAGATAGGTATTTAGACAAGTTTAGATTGCCATATTGGACAAAATCAGATTGCCATATTTCTCTCTTTGATATTCTTGTTATGCATTATTTTCTAATATCAATTTGTATCAGTTTATATCTTCTATCAAAGGATTGTTAGGAGGTCATTTCCTGTATAAAAAGAGATTTGCTGATAATGAAAAACGTGAGCTTGGCATCTCCCTTTTACCTTTTATTAGAAGCCTTGGTGGACTAGGCATTTTCTGGCCCAATATTCAAAGACGTGGGGATGTGATGGGCCTTTCATGACTGACGTGGAATCAAGTAAACCATAAGACATACATTTTCCCTTCATGTTAAATGTAGTATTTATAGTAAAAATTAGGTCAAAGGCACTTTTTAGACCTTTCATATTCTTAGACACCTCTTGCCTTCGAATTGGTGATTGGAGAGGCTGTTATGAATCAAGAACTCTGAGTTGTATTTACTTTGCACTTTTTTACAGCTCTAGAATATGTGGCAAAGTACTCCTATCATGTGACAAAAAAATATTTTATTATTCCATTTTCGAGACAATTATTATAAAGTAACACATTTTGTGCTTTGCTAATTTTTCATCAACTTTCTACTAGACAAATTGTTTCACCACTTGTTACATTTTTAGGATGAAGATAAGACTCGTTTTGTTTTTCCTAATTAGGAGGTCGATGGAGAGTAAACATCCCCAGTCTTTCCCTTTTAGTGAAGCAAAATAATTTTAAAACCCATAAAACAATTTTCAATTTTCATTATTGTTTTTTTTCGTTGATCAAAATTTGGAAGGACTATTATTTCCTTTTTTACTGTCCATGTGACACAAATTACATCCTGAAGGACGAAGGATGAAACTGTTAATTTTTTTTACAATGATTCCTATTATTGGTCTATAAATTTATTATTTTATTTTTGTAACAAGAAATATAGTAAATTCACTAAGTTTAAAATATATATTATCTCGTAATATATAAGTATAAAATTATTATGTTTTACAAAATATTCAAATTCATTGAAGAAATGTCATAAAACAATATTTATTTCATTTTATTTTCTTTATATATGTCGAATCTAATAGAAAATTAACTTTAGTTGAAAACATTATGAAGTTCAGTGATTACTAGGAAGCATTTTAATGTTCTGTGAGTAAAGCGTGATAGAATTATAAATTTAATAACTAGTGAAATATGGTGAGCGAGTGATGAAGTGCTACGTGTTAAGTTTAATATCTACTTGAAAGTATTTTAAAGCTTAATGACTTTTGAAACATGGTGGTGAGCGATGTAATTCAAAGTGTTAAAGTTCAGACCACCCGAAAATATTTAAAGTTTAGTGAATAAAACGTAATGGAAGTATAAGTTTAGTGACTAATCAATTCTAATTTGTTAGCAAATAGTAAGATTATTTTTTATTTATTTTAGATTTTCACTAGGAAGCATTTTAATGTTATGTGAGTAAAGTATGACGAAACTATAAGTTCAATGATTAGTAAAATATGGTGAGTGAGTGATGAAATACAACTAGTTAAAGTTTAATGGAAACTATGAAGTATTTTAAAGTTCAATGACTTATGAAATATAGGGACGAGTGATGTAGTGCAATGTGTTAAAGTTTATACAACTCGAAATCATTTTAAAATTCAGTAAATAAAGTGTGTTGGACTTATGAATCTAGTGATTAATCAAATATATAATTCATCGACAAATGGTAAAATTACTTTTTATTTATTTACATTTTCAATAAAAATGCTTGAAAGCAATCTCTATAACCATGCGTACCTCGTAATCGGATGTTAAGGTCAGCAATCATCCACGCACCAAACAAAAGCTATCTCAATTTCCCAACTAGACCAGACCACCTGATTCTCATCAATCTTCCTTATCCTTCTTCCTAAAAACACCATTCTACAGCTATCTTTGTGCAACAATTATAAGTAAATTTAGAAAAAGCATTTAAAATGGCTTCATTTTCTCTCCCTACCAATCAAGCTCTTCCTTCTCTGCTCCATTCTCATATCCCAAAAGCTACATTCTTTCAAAACCACTCTCTTCTTCCCAAATCTTCACAATCGCAATTTCATGGCCTCAAGCTCTCTAATTCATCCCCTGTTTCAATCCCATCTTCTTCTTATGTGAAGGGTTCAATTGTTGCCAAGGTACATTTATTTAATTAATTGCAGCTTTTCTTTAATTTCTGTACTGGGATTTTCGAATTCTAGTTCAAGAAAGATTTAATTCCGAATTGTATAAGCTTAATTTGAATTAGAAGTAAGTACAATAAAATATAGAGTTCTACTGGTCAACCTCTGTTAATAAGAATTTCCCAATTCTTATATGTTTGTTATAGTTTCGATATTCAATCGGCGTGGGATTTAGCTCAACACTCCTGGGCTGGTTTGAGCAAACTAATCTTGAAATTTGATTGGTCTTTGGAGCTTTAGACAGTCCAAATTGCTCATTTAAACTTAATGTAGTCAAATTCCATCTTAAATTTCAACCTTGTTAATAGGAATAGCGCCCTTATATATATTAGTTGACATGGGATTTAAGTAATTTTCAGGAGAAATGATTAGAAGAAAATGATCATATCTTATATTCTGAGAATTGATAAAAGTCATTGTTTATGCAATGGGATTCTTGGTTTTCAACTTTGAAGATTACAGAAGGTTCATTGGCACCAGCATTTACATTGAAAGATCAAGATGGTAAAACTGTGAGCCTTTCTAAGTTCAAAGGCAAGCCTGTGGTTGTTTATTTCTACCCTGCTGATGAAACCCCTGGTTGTACCAAACAGGTAAATTTGTTATTTCTAAGAATTTCCTTGTCCACTTAAGAATGTACATTGAAAATTTAATCTCTTCTGATTATGTGAATAAAACACTACCATTGAGCACTACATCAAAATATATCGTGATTTATCGGAAGGCATCAAAATCAAAATTTGTAAGTGTCTGCAGCCTTCATAATTAGTGGGTTTTTAATCTTTTTCAAATCAAAATCTAAGGAGGAGTTTTTTGGTTCTTACCCAAACTTAGGTGGAGGTTTGGCATGTTCCTCAAGTGAAGATTAGGTAATAAATAAGTACAATAGGGAGGGGAACAACGTTACCTCCAGAACTACAACTAGAGTATATTTCTAAGTTTGCTTGAAAAATTAAGTGATTAGACATTCGTCTTTATATTTGAATACATTTTGGGTCCAAAAAATAAATATTGGGCGAATGTTAGGAAGATGTCTGCAAACATTACAAAAACCTGAATGAGCAGCTAGAACATTTCTCTCTTTTCCTAATAGCTGTTCCATAGTATCACAAGTATCATCAAAAATGAAATTGATGAAATTAGGATAGACCTTTAGCTAGAAATTGATTTTGGCCCTTTACAAAAGGAATTTGGTTTTTAATGAATACGATCTCTTTCCTACTTGTAATATGATGGACGTGAATTCCACATTTAGAAGAAATGAAAAGTATCTGGTTTCGTGTACTTGCTAATAGGAGCCTCCCATTTGTATTTTCTTCATCCCAAATTTGTGTGAGCCATAGATTATCTTGAGGTTGGGATGCTAAGTGAGGTTTTTCCTAATACGTACGTTTTTGGGTGTAATGAGGTTTGGTTCTGTGATATTATGTGATTGTAACTATTGGATAAACATTCCCGACATTGACTTGTTTTTGTGCATCAGATTAGTTTAATTTACTCAGAAATGTCTACTACGAAGTTAAGAAAATGAAATGAGACTGGTTCTTAGCAGCAAGTGAAAAAGAATGTGGTTCTTGTATTAACTCAATGATGATTACTTGCACTAATTCGTAATATGTATCAAATTCCAAGATTCTCACTGCATATCCCTTTGGATGCTGGGCCATACTGTATAATTTATACACTCTTACCTAGCATGCCACTTTATAATTTATATACTTTAATCTAGCAATTACTATGCCAAACTTTATGAATGACAGAAAGTTCCAAATGTTTTGACCATTCTTACAGGCATGTGCATTCAGGGATTCTTATGAAAAATTCAAGAAAGCCGGAGCCGAGGTTATTGGAATAAGTGGGGATGATCCAGTATCCCACAAGGTACTAAATTTTCACCTTGTTGGATAGAATCATGATTCTTTATCTAGTCTTAAAGCATATATGTCTGGGTTATGTTCACAATATTTACAGCGCACAACTAAAATTAATAGTTAATTGGTAAGTTGTCGGCGAAGTCCGCAAGCGTATGAGATCATTAATAATTAATAATGTAGTGAATAAAAGTATCGTCCTGTGAGGAATAAATCTGAAAGTGAATAGTATTAATCAGTTTATCAAATTCAGATATAACCGTAACACAATAGAGATTTGTTTGTTTGTATCTAAATTATCCTACTAATTATCTAAAAATATTTTGAATTTAATATGAGATGTATGTGTTGGAATTCCCATTCCACCTATTACTATCATGTTTTCAATTTTCAATCTATGTAATCTAGATTGATTTGTGTAGTCTTGAAAATCGATAATCCAATTTAACTATGTCTCTCAGGGTAAGTTAAACATATTCTAAGCACAGTCCAATCATATTCTTATTTCGAATTCATGTGCAAAGTAGTGCATTAAATCTCATTTATGTTATTCTTAATATATATTGCCCATATGTTGAAATTGCAAAGTTCTAAACCTATCATGAATCTCCTGAAAATATGATAAGCAACTAATTATTTAAATTGTGCATGAGCATTTAAATAATTCAACAAGACATACAAGATCAATAAAGAACACTAATTAACTAAACTACTTGGTCTTTGAAGTGAAAATAATCAAATAATGAGGTTTATCTTCATCCAACACAAAAAAATTTAGCCTAACATATTTCTAATGATAATACAACTACAAGAATAATGAAAACGGTTTCACTACAGGATTTGTGAATGAATGCTGGGCTTGGCCTCTAGAATGGAGTGAGCTGCATGCAGGGAGAAATATATGTAGATACAAGAAATACATGGAATCAATTTCTCGTTCTTGATCTTCAATCCTAAGCTTTGATTCTTTAATTTCGTGATGTTTCTTGCCTTCAAATCTGTGCTAGATTTGTTCTTTTCGTTGAATTATGGCAGACTGGTCTTCTTTTATTGTAAGATGTGTATGGATTTTATGAAACAAGAGAGGTTTGAGAGATTTTTTCAATGGTCGCCCACATTCTGCACTTAAGGAGGCCGAAATTAGGTCAAGAGTCACTTCAAAAGTCCTTTACATAAAGAGTTTTAATCTAATAAAGAAACAGTCCCTTTAGTCAGAACCGCATGGGCCTAGTCCTTGCGGTAGCACCACTTCCTTACTCTACTCTCAGGTTGGTTAAATTAAAGGGTTGCGATCAGAGGAGGTTTACCCCATGCGATAAGTTCTGAAATTATGCACGTTGGTCGTCAGGTTTCTTCCTTTTGTTCAATTCAATTCATTTCATTTCTTTGTGAAATCTTGGCCCTCTTCCAATTATAACCAATTCATTCTCTGTAGTCTCCAATAATCCTTCTTTGGTTCAAATCAACTGAAATCCCTGAAATTTGGAAATCATTTCTTTTCGCCGGTTTTCGTTTCTTTCTTCCAAATTTACGTCCAATCATCAAGTTCTACTTAACAAACTATGTATACAAGAGATTAGGCCATTATTCATCAAAAGTACTCCCAAATATTCATATTTAATGGCCTAAAATGCACTTATCAGTTAGAACCATAAATTGCCAATGAAAAGTCACAAATGGCGGTTAATTTTTCCATTCTGAATTGACAGATACCAGATATGATTTTTCAATTCCCCTGCATACTACTGATTGATAGTAACAGGATGCATATTTGACACTTTTTGATATTGAGTACATGACTTTAGTAGCACAGGCAAGTTCAAAAAGAAGACCAATATTGCATTTTTTTGCAAATAATTATTTGATTTAGTTATCAATTTTGTATTAAATGAATAGTTTTAGAATTATGCTCCACACATTCCTACCATGTTATAACTGACTGACGTGCTCACATTGATGTGTGATGTGTTGTAGGCCTTTAAACAGAAATACAAGCTTCCATTTACATTGCTGAGTGATGAGAGTAACAAAGTAAGAAAAGAGTGGGGCGTCCCATCAGACCTATTTGGCGCTTTGCCTGGAAGGCAAACTTATGTTCTCGATAAGAATGGAGTAGTTCGACTTATCTACAACAATCAGTTCCAACCTGAGAAGCATATCGATGAAACCTTGAAGTTTCTTCAAAGTGCTTAACTATTATTCTGGATTACTTTTCTGATACCCTTGGCTATGAATCTCTCTCTCTTGTAACTAGTTTTCTGTAAAGAGGATTGAACCTCAATTTGTAACTGGGTAGTGTGTTGTATTTTAGTGCTATTTAAGGCGTATTGTTCGAATGGGAAGAACAGAGAGTTCCTTAACAAGTACACTCGATTTATTCGTGAAAACAAAATTTCAATTTCTAGTACATTATATATGAAATTTGCCCCCATTATTCCATTTATTTTGTAGTAAAATAAATATATCAGACAACAAATAAAGTTAGCATGCACGGGCGACAGTGTAGAGTCGAGCAAGTATTATTCTTTCATTTTTTGTCTTTGTAATCTTGGCTGTTGTAAGGGCTAAAAGCTTCAGCAAGCCAGTTGTTCTTCCTCCATGACGTCCATCCCATTTCTTCACAGATTTCGTCGCTATGATTTATGCTAAAAGTCGAAATGCAGCTTCTCTTGAAGAATCTTGTTGTTTTCTTCATAATTTCCATCTCTTTGGTTGTTTCTTCAAGCATTTTCTCCACACTCGGGAGCTTAAATTGATCGTCTACAAGTCGAGATAGCCATTTGCAGCGTATCTCTGCCGTGTGGAGATTTGAAACGCTCTCGACATAACCCACAAATGCCATGTTAGGAATTAATGGATTGATTGTACCCCTGTCGATATAGAGAAAGATTATAATGCATTAGTGTTGTTAATTTGATGAGGAAACGAAATGGCTGTTTTGAGATTGTGTTATATGATACCTATATAAGGGCATCATTCCAGAGGGGAATTCGAGCAGACAGCGGAAGGGCTCCGGAATTATAGTTTTGAGTTTTTTCTTGCCATCAAAACCAGTGGCAAGAACCACCACATCGGCATCCAATTTGGTTCCATCGTCGAATTCAACTCCTCCTTCCCAAAACCACCATTTTGAAGCTCGTTTGAAGTGAATATTTCCCTTATCAGCCTCCGCAAAGAAATTCTCAGGCAAGATAGCCATTTGACAAGACGCGTAGTCTTCCTCAAAAGGGTGTTCAGGTTTCAATCCATACTTCTCCAAGGGAAGTTTCCATGTCAAATAGGACTCGATCATCTTCGATGCCGCCCGTCTCTGTCGTTAGTAAAACCATAATAAATAAGAAATAATCGGCTCGACCTCTCTTATCTTAGTAAAAAGCCAGAGAGAGTTACCAGAGGAGACATCAAGTGGCAAAGGAGGCACCTAAGGAATCCTTGATTCGGTCTTTCATGTAGAAATTGGGATGCTCTCGTTGAATAGAACATGTAAAATGGCAAACCCCATATAGAGTAATGAGGAACAGTCCAATGTAAGGTTCGCGCCACCATCGTGCAAGGTTTGCCTTGTGGACCTACAAATGTACCACAACAATTAATTAGCAGCCGGGCTCCAAAGAAAAACTTACCAAAGCCAAGTATATATATTGCGAAAATTTTTATAACTACTCAAAGCTTAAGAAATTAATTTTGTCTAACATAGCCAAAGACCACATCGTCATATGCTGAATATTATTAGCCACCGGCAGTATAAGTTGACCCTAATTGACCCAGCTTTTTTCCCATATAAATCGTTAAAGAATTGCTTTAACTAAATATGGAAAGTTGACAGACCATCAGGCAAGAAATTACTCAGAAAAGAAACAAATGCAGTGTCAACCCATAAAATAATAGTATAGATGTGTTTGGGGTTTGCTAGGAAGAATTAATTAACTAATCTTCCCACTTAGCATTTAGTCCAACTATCTGTCCACACTTTCTTAAAAAATCGTGTGAGAGCCATTCGACTAGGTATCGTCTTTACACAACTAAATTTTACGGTCAACTCCCTTCTTTACACAACTAAATTTCCGTATCGATAACCCTAAATCCCACCCCCAACCTCTATTATAAGTTTTGAGGTTCCATCTCAATAGTCTAAGCCCTTATATAATAATTATTGTTTCGATAGTTGCAGCTTACCTTTAACACACTTTAGTGTGTGTGTATTTGTATGTATTGTGTATTTGCGTGTGTTTGTGCGTATGTGTGTGTGTATTCGTGTACTGTAATTACCTTGGTTTGCCTCTGCACATTCGACTGCTAAATCAATGGCAGATTTTTTGTAGCCGAAGATTACGACCTTCTTGTCTTTGAGCAATTCTGTAGATTCTTCTTCGTTGAGCTTGCAATAATCAAGAGTATGCAAAACTTTTCCTTGAAACACTTGAGGGCCTTTGTTCTGTGGGAATTTGGGTATCATCGGGATATCGCCATATTTTCCGGTGCAGATCACCAGAAACTCAAATGCATACCACTGCAAAAGTCATCAAATTAATGCACAAAACTAAAATTAATCATAAGTTTCTTTTTACTTATAATTAATGCTTGTGAATGCATGCATATGCATTCAAACATAAATCAAATAATTTTTCCATGCAAGTACCTGAATGGTTTGGGAATTATTGGTCTGCACACCAACTTCCCAGACCGGTTTTCCAGGCAAGGGGCTTCCATATTCATCAGATTTCGAATCCCAGTCACCTTTGAACCGGATTTCGACCGCCTTTGTGTTAAATTTTACAAATTTAAGCACATCAAAATGCTCAGCATAAGAGTACAGGTAATCGAGAATTTCCCCGGAATACGGGAAACTCGAATTGTCTCTTTGTTCCCAAGGAAAATCAGAGAATTCATAGTCACAACGAGGGGTTTGGAGTTTTGTAGACCTATAAGAACAATGTCTCCAAACTCCACCAAGGGAGTCGGTGGCTTCGAACACGACCGGCTCGTGTTTCGAGAGCTGTTTGGCGGCTGCTACACCACTAATGCCACCACCGATAATGCCAATCTTCTTGGAGTATTCAGCCATAATTTTATGTGCTCAAGGTTTACTTGATAATAAGATGATGGATGATGGATTTTGAACGTAGGAAACCCAGAGTATTTATAGATATATTGCATGGCAAGTCGGCCCCGTTAATAGCACGTGAATTGACAAAATGAGGCCTATGCTAGAAGAATAAGAAAATGCGTTTTATTCATTTCTTCAACACTAATTGTCGATGACCGTTCCTTGATTTTCAATTTTTTGTTTTATAAAACTAATTAATGGGAATTAGCTAGTAATTATATTCTTATAGAATGGAAATTTCGTTCAAATGAACATAGTGGTTCATAAACTTCGGTGCAACTTCAATTGTTCTTCTTAAAACAAAATTTAGAGTCCAAATTCAGATTATGATTAAATTACTCAAACTTTCTTTAATTCGTACATTTTAATAAATATTAATTTAAGTTGTACATATATATTGTATATCTCATTTAGGTTGCATTTAATGCATCGAATTTAACTTACTAAGGAATTTAGTTATATAGATGGTACTAGTAATTATTATTTTATTTTTCATCTAAAGAAATATCATGTCCATGCTCCATGATTCATAATGCAAATGATATATATCTAAAAGAATTCATTACAATTTTACGTTGAATTTTTTTATACAATTTTATATATTATGAGCCAAATACAACCTTATAAGATGATTTGATCCGTTCATTTGACTCTAGTCAGCCATGAAAATAGATATACAAGAGAACCTTACGCTTGTAATTTCTCATAGTTATTCTTTTACTACTACACAAAAATGAAAATTTTGATTATTCATCATAGAAATTCTTGTATTCTAGTATACGTATTCATTTTAACTAAAAGCGACAATTCATTGTGGGAATATACCAGTGTCTCTCCATTTCCACATAGAAAGGAAGAGAAAGAGAGAGTGGCAAATATGCATGAACCTCTCATTCTCATTTGGTTGTGATGGCTTAGCTAGTTTTAGGCAGCCAATGAGATGGAAATAGAAAAAATCACAAAAAACTAGAGATAAAAAGAAAGAAAAGGAAAAAGGAAACACCCAAGAAAAGAAGGCGAAACTCTAAGGAAATGAAATAAAAAGTTTGTCAGTAGGCATGATATGGAAATGGAAGAGTGTACGCTTCATTCTTGTCGAATTCAAGATTTTCTCTTGCCATCTAATGAAATTACCACTAATATGCTGCTTTTTGTTAAACAAGTCAGGATTCATTTTTCCATTAATCTGAACATAGTATAAATATTCAAACTTCAATTTACATCTTTAAAAGACTAATATTATTGAGAGGAGTAGTTCAATATCTTATATGTTTAGTTATTTATTTTTATCGATATCTAGTGTATGATTTACTCATTATCGTTCCCTGTAAGATAATAGCTTATCCGAGACGACCAATTTTAAATTTCATTTACTCATTTGAATTTGTTGGACTCTGACATGATATTAAGATTTGAAGTTTCATTTTACAAGATCAACCTTTTTAGTAAGAGTAGTTCAAGCCTCAAGAACTGTATTAATTATTTACTTTATAACCATATCCCACAACAATAAATAGGTCAAATGTTTGGAATTTTCCTATGTAGTTATGTTTCAGCAAAATTGCCAGGAAATTGTCGAAGCATTTCTTTTAATTATTTTTTACCTCGACCTCGTGAAAAAAATGATGATTCTTGTAATTTCTCTTTTCAAAACAAAAATAATTTCAAAAGGGTATATTGTTAGACTAACAAATGGTGAGCTCAAAACAAAACCTGTCTCATTTTAAATGTTGCAAACTACATAATCAAATAAGAGTTTATACAAATTCACACACATTAATATTAGCACATTAATTCAAACTATTCAATTCTATTAATTCTAGAGTTTGGACTTTGACTTGTGGCCTTCAATATAAACACTATGACTCCTGAGATGAAATTAAAATTCTGGTCAACACTTTGAAATTGTACAAAGTCAAACATGCGTACACTCTGATTAACCTATGCACTTGAGAGTGAAATTTACATCAATATTATAAAATGTAAATTAGGTTATAAAAGAAGACGAGTAAGCCAATAGTTTAATTTATATTAATTAATTGTTCCAAGTTTTCATATGAAATTTCACTATCAACAAGTTGTTGAACTTGCAGCAGCTAGTTTTATTTTTAAATAATCTTTATCTTGATACCGTGGGCGTGTATGTGGGTACATGTCTTTTGGTGGTTTATTATATTATAATTTAAAGAAAGACTTTGTACATAAGAAGCAAAACTCACGAGTTGTGATACATGCTTAGCATTATGGCCCGCGGACATTGATTATGTGCAACAAAATATTACATGCAACGTATGACAAATGATCATATACATCTTATTTCTTTTGCTCTTTA